CCCCCAGGTGCATCACCTTACACTTGTCTGTGTTAAACCCCATCCTATTCTCCTCTGCCCATCCTTGTAACCTATCTAGGTCCAACTGTAGATTTAAATAAGGACTTTGCAGTCATTTAAATAAAGACTTTGCATCCTTTATGAAGAGCAGAGGTATTAAAATTCTTGTCTAGTGCAATGATGCTCAACCTTCTTCACCTCCAGAAAACACTAGCTCTTTGCTTTCACTTTTTGTATAACAGAAAAATAATAGAGCAGTTCTGCTGCTGCAACCAACTCAGCAAGCTCACTGCAGGGCAGAAGGAATTAACCCCCATGATTCCTCTTTGACATCTCTGGGTTTACCTTGAGAATCATGTTTGCACACTTAACAGTGCTGACATTGCACTGCACCGTGCGGCACTCTTGGGAGGATCTCAAGGCACCCTAGGATGCCACGGCTGCCTGGTTGGGAATCTCTAGTCTAATGCAGTTGTCCTTTAATTGGTTCAAAGTGCATAAGTGTATGTCATGGAATGAACAAATGAACCTCTCCTGGGGTAACAAAGCCAGACAGAGGGGTGGCTTCTTATGCCCAACTTCTCAGTGCTCATCCCTCACTGCACCACTTAGCAACTCTGTGGCCCGATGGGCTTAGTGTGTTTAGACGGTGCATAGGAGCCACGGCCTAGTCAGCCTCTAGGCAGTGTCCCAATGCGTCACAAACTGATCTAGCCATTCTGTGTGTAGGCTGGACCAAAATGGCCTTCCTCAACTTCCTTCCTAGCTGCTACAACCTCCTCCTCCTCTCAGCTAGGTGGACTGTGTGGCCTCTAAGTTCCCTTCCAGCCCTGTGATCCTGCATCCCCTTTTGCCCTACTTGCATCTGTTCAACCTGCTGCTGCAAAGGTTATCCTCCTGGCTTGTGTCTCTGACCCTTTTCTTTGCTTCTCTCTTTTCCTACTCCTTCCTCATTGTATCAAGCCCAAATGTCTCATCTTCCCTTGGAAGTGCTTGTGTGCTGCCAGGTGCCTTGGATAACGAGCCAAGCCAGCCTTTGGTAAAAGCCTGTTTGTAGAAAATTCCTGCTTCCTCTGCCATCTCTTTGTGCATAAGAAGAGCTCCCCCTCCATCGTTCACAAAGCCGTGTCCTGTTTCAGATCCCTCCTTCAAACTCTTCTTTGCAGTGATAGTACAAATGAACTTCCCAGCGGCTGGGCACTAGGTGTTCTGTGCCCGCTGCCTGTCACGCTGACTGCCGACACGAAACAATTCACGTGGATGAGGAGCAACGGGGTGGAATTGCAAACTTGCTGCCCATGCTCTTCATCTGCCACTGAAATGCCGGTAGGATGGAGCTGTGGTTTAAGAGCTCGCTGCAGTTGTTTCCAGCAAAAACTGTGGCAAGCAGAATAAGAAACAGGTTAAATATTTTGTGACCCAGAGAAATTTTAGATAGGCAGAAGATGCAATTTGGCCCAGGCAGCGGGTGAAATCCTGCTCTCTATTAAAATCTGTGGCAAAGTTCCCATTTATCCACTGAGATGGTGGCTCTTATGCTTTCCAACAGCACTGTGCTGGCCACAAGTGATCTTGGCATGGGTGTAAAGAGAACAACATCGATTTCATAGACATTTGGGCTGGAAGGGACCTCGGAAGAT